GAGTTGTGGCCCAAGTGGTAGAGTGCTAGCCTTGAGCACAAAAGCTCAGGGACAGTGCAAGGCCCTGAGTTCAAGCACTACGACCAACCAAAACAAAAAGCAATCAAAAGAAAAAAACCACCTACTAGTCCAATCTCAATCTCAAAACTATTGAAACCTCAGAACTTTCCCCAAACAATACTTATGGAAAGGTCATTTCACATCCAATACACAGTTATTAAGTAAGCCGTTTACAAAGATCTTGCTCCTTTCAGCCACTTGGCCTACTTTATGTTTTCTCAAAAATAAGCGTTGCACCTGAAGAACAAGATGGCAAAAATGTCACAAAACCAAACAATGGTTAGTAAAACTAGAAAGATTAAAAACAAACAAAATTCCTATCTATACCCAAAAGCCACCAATTTTGTAATAATAAACCTCAAGGTTTTATTAAATTTTCTTCCTCGCTGCAAGAAAAGCTATAAGATCAGTCTGGCAGACAAGATATCTCCTTTCTAAGATATCCATTTTGAAGAAAATTGAGCTACTTTTATGGGAACCTACTTACAAGGAATTTTCAGTGTGGTAGCTCTTTCAGGGCTGTGATTTTCTAAGTATTTGTAGCTGATCAAAAGCCTCTAATTCTGAGACATTCTGCCATAATGAAAAGATGTGGAAAAAATTTATCAGATAATACTTACAAATTAGGTTCCCATTTGGGCCTGACTCCATAATTACCAGCCTATGATCCCTGAGGAAAACTTCAGTATCTCAGCAGCAGCTGGAGGCTAGTGTATTTAGGCACTTTAAATGAACACAATGAGAAGTTCCAGAATCTTTTTTTTAATCACACATGGGGAAGTCATTTTTTCTAAAGGGGCATTATTTAGAGGTTTTCTGGCTACCCTGAAAAAAAAAAAATCAAAACTATTCCTTTTTTTCCATCTTTAAAGACAGAAATAAAGGCAGCCTCTAAGAATCTCAGACCTGGATAATGAATTCTCCAAGTTTATTATCTTTGACTTACATATGGAAAGAAGACCAAAAATAATGAACAAGCAATAACTTCAAGACTCTGGTCCATTTCTAAGGCTCTCTCCTGTCAAGTTTTGGAGTTAAAAGCGTCTCCAAATCACTATCAAATTCCTTCCTCTACAACCATTTTGCTATGTCACACTTAGGGTAGAATTCCTACACAATGTCTAATAAAGACCTGTAGCTACGACTTAAACAAATCTCACCTTATTCTACTCCAAGTGAATAAAGCAACATTGTTCACCATTCTATGTATTGGAACACATGCAAATTTGCCATAACCATACTTACAAATCAAGGATATATGGTTTGTTTTTTCCTAAAAGATGAACAGTCATAGAACTAAATTTATACCATTTATACCATTATATCATTTATACCAGAAATGAGATGTTTCACCCTAAAAACATAAAATATGAAGACATAGAGGGAAAAAGGCCTATCATTTTTAAAAGTCAGAAAATCAATTTTTAGAATAAGAGACCTTTCTGAAAAAGGCTCTCAAAATACTTTTCAATTAGAACTCCTCATGTAAAAACCTATGCTTTTGAGGAAATGAACAACAATAACACTGCTTTTTACAGGTAATTTTTACAAGTAAAAAAAGGCCCGGTACCAGTGACACGTGTCTGTAATCCTAGCTAATTAAGGGGCTGAGATCTAAGGATTCAAGAGAGTCCATGAGATGCCTATCTCCAATTAACCTCCAATTAACCACCAGAAGTGGAGCTGTGGCTCAAGTGGTATGACACAAACCTTGAACCTAAGGGACAATGTCCAGGCCCTAAGATTAAGCCTCAGTATTGGCACACACACATGAATGCACATACTTACAGTTAGAAAAAAATAATTCCTGCAAGATCATTCACCAAACCAATGTAAAGATGGCCCAGAAACCCCTGATCTTGCTCTGTGCTAAGCCTTTTGCTAAACTACAAAGATAACTCTTAAATATGGAGTACACAGACTGATCTTTCCATGGAAAATAAAAACTGCACAAGTATAAGACTTTAAAATATTAGACCTCTTAAGTTAAATGAAGAGCCAACAAGGACTGTGGACAAAATCATTTAAAACATTTTATGTCAATTTTTAAACAAGGAGGTAGGTAAAAATTACTTGCACTGTGAGTCCTTTAGCTATCAACAACAGTACTTCATCCAAACAACAAGGTTTTGAGCATGATAGTTTAGGTAGCCAGTTCTTAGCAAGATTTCTACTAAGAAATGTTGTCAAGTACTAATCCTAACTACTCAGGAGGTGGAGATCTGAGGATCACAATTCAAAAGGCAGCCTGGGATAGACTCATCCCCAAGTAGCCATCAAAACATCAGAAGTGGCAGAAATGGAAGGGAAACTCTGGGGAAGAGCAAGGGAAAGACTGACATTGTCCAAAAGGAAATGTATTCTACCTGACTTATTTAACTGTAACCCCTCTCTGCACATCACCTATATAATAACAATAAAAAACATTTTTTTAAGCCCAAATGGCAGAGCATCTCAGGCTTGAGCAGAGAAAAACTAAGCATGGGCATGAGGCCCTGAGTTCAAACCCCAGTTCTAGGGGGAAAAAAATAAAGAAAGAAAGGGTATTAATTTTTCAAATGATCACCAAGAGACTAGTAGAAGGCATTAAAAAAAAAAGTTAATAGCTAAACAGCACAAACATTAATTACTAGATATCAGGGGATGGAGACATGGCCCAGTTGGTAGAGTGTCAGCCAGTAAGCAAAAGTGTCAGATACTGAATCTGAGTCCCAGTCTCATATCAATAAAATAACTAGAAAAATTACTAGATATCAATTACTTTCAAAGAAACCATTTCTCTTTAAATTCTAAAGGCTTGTTCATTGTACATGTTGCTTGTCCTAGTAAGGCTCCACGTACATCTACACACACACACACACAATCAATCAATCAATCAAATAACCACAATAAAAATGGCCAGGCCCCAGTGGCTCACACCTTTAATTCTTACTACTCAAGAGGCTGAGATCTGAGGATCTTGGTTCTTAGAAGCCAGCCTGGGTAGAAAAGTCGGTGAGACTTTTTATGGCCAATAAACTACTCAGAAAAAGCTCAAAGTGGCACTGTGGCTCAAATGGTAGAGCACTAGCCTTGAGCACAAAGAGGCTCAGGGATAGTGCCCAGACCCTGAACTCAAAGCCCCAGGACCTGAAAAAAAGTCCATACAATTTCCATTACCCAAAGGGTTTATATTAGTAAATAATAATGTAAGCAATCCCTTTATATACAATTCATCCTAGAGATGTTTTCTTACAAGTTAAATTAATGATTCAATTAGAAGTTAACACACTGGTGTTTTAAAACTCTATTTCACAGGGCTGGTGGCTCATCATGCCTATAATCCTAGCTACTCAGGAGGCTGAGATCTGAAGATCACAGTTCAAATTCAGCCTGTGCAGGAAAGTCAGTGAGACTCTGATATTCAATTAACCACCAAAAAAACAGAAGTGGAGCTATGGCTCAATTGGTAGACCACTAGCCTTGAGCAAAAGAAGTGTCAGCGCCAAGCCCTGAGTTTACACCCCACAAGTGACATAAAAAGAAGAATCACTGAAATGGGAGACCATAAATGTAGGTGCTCCTTCTATACTTAATGGTAAACCAATATGCTTATTTGCTTTTCGAACTTCGCTCCAGAAATGAAGAGTCTTGTACCCAATAGCCATGCATAGTTTATTGCTACACATACTGCTTCAATGTTACTAGGCAGACACAGTCAAGAGTAGGTAACTACCAATCATCTCTTAAAATACATGAACACTCACTGTGGCTCAAGTGGTAGAATACTAGCCTTGAGCAAAAGAAGCTCAGGGACATGCCAAGGACCTGAGTTCAAGTCCCAGGACTGGCCAAAAAAAAAAAAAAAAAGCATGATCATGGATGTTAGGACATTGGACCCTGTGACAATTGTGACCATTCAGACAAGTTTGAGGCAAAAATCTTGTAACAAAACAATAATCTTAGTATCAAACATCACAAGAGTTTAATCCCTAAGCACAAATAAACTTCGAATAACCTTAGAACCTACCTAGCACCTAGTATCTGGATCAAATATTGGCTAAATTGAAGAATAAACATATCTAAAGGATGGCACACATGAGAAATATACAGCAATTGTCCCTTCTTTAGAACATTAAACTAGATATAGCTTTTAAATACTAGATATAAAACAAATGTAACAAAACCTAAGGTTATTTCCTAGTATGAGAGACACAAGTAAATGTGTCATTTGTGAACCTGTGGAATCTTAATTCATTCAAACTGTATATTCTGATTGTCATCAATAATGCTTACTGACAATAACTAGGATCACCACCAGAGGTCACCTACAGTTTAAATAAAAAGAGTAAACTCCTTCAACTATGGTGAAGTCTGCCTATCAGTATAGGAATTATAATAAATTTGGTTTTTGCCAAGTTTAAATTAGAAACAAAGCCAAATTCTCACTTCCAAATTCTTTGTAAAGATGAGTAGTTTAGGTCTTTATCTTCTGTAATTATGTGACCAGAAACCTAACACCCCTCCCACTGCAAGAGATCTAAAAAACATCTTTATAACGGAACTACTCTAAAAAGAATAACTGACATATTTGATTGGCAGCTCATTTAAGACTCCCTTTTCCAACTGCTAAAGAACCTAGCCATTGAAATAGAACATTTGATGTATACAAAATTTTAATGCCTTAATTATAGCTGACTTACTAACACATAATATCTAGTCATTTGTGCTCATATTTTCATTGGTTTGTTTCATTTTTAAGCCATTAGGCTGAAGTTAGTATTCTTCCTATAATGATAGCAGTTACAGCAACATTCCCGAATGGGAATTGTGAGAAAGGCAACAAAGGAAAGCAAACACATACTTCTGGAGACTAGGTTTCGGACACATCTGATGAAAGACAACTCCAACCAAACTTCCCTGAAAACAGACCCACTTTTCTGACACATCAGCTAGCTTACCTCTCCCATAGCTCTTCCCTCCAGAGCAAGTGCTTGAAAATCATGATTTAGTTCATCCATAGAACGTACCTAGTATTCAGAATAAAGGAAGGAAAAACCTCAAGTCAGTATCTCAGTTTATATACACATTATACACAACTAAAAAGTTTCTATTTACTCTCAAATATTCACAAAGACAATAACAAAAACCAAGTAACTGAGATTAAACATCCACTTACCTCTAATCATCAGGGTTCAGCAATAATCCCTGCTTTATCCCCTCCCATTTCCTTTTATTTTAAAAAATGAAAAAAACAACTATATAAAAATTATGCTATCCATTTTTCATACATTTAGCAAGTAAATATCAACAGGCTAAGAGCAATGATGTTTGGAGATGATTATATAAACTTTATCAAGCTAATGAATGAAAATTAACATTGTTATATTCCAATTGTGAAGTTAAGTACAAATGAGAACTTATCTGACCCAATACACTTTATAACATGTATCCCAGTCAGTATTCTTCCAGAGGAGAAAATGTGTTGCGAGTCCCAAAACCAGGGAAAAGCAACAAAACTTGTCACAAGAAACCTTCCAAACCTTTCCAATCATTTGATATATTCTTATTTACATCATAAGTATTTCATTAAACTTGCATTTACTCATCTCCCAAGTCATTAGTAAAAGACCCACACTAGCATCAGGATTGTTAAAATGTGAAATACATTATTCAAAACAACTAAAATTTGCAGGGTGCTGGTGGCTCACACCAAAATCTCAGGAGGCTGATATCTGAGAATCCTGGTTTGAAGCCAGCCTAGGAAGACTAATCCAAGACTTTTTCCAGTTAAGCAGGAAAAAGCCAGAAGTGGACATGAGGCTCAAGTGGTTTAAAAAAAAGCATTAGCTGTGAGCAAAAAAGCTAGGCAAGAATGTGAGTGAGGCCAGCCAGCACAAAAAGAAAAAAAGTAATTCAAGCCAGGCATTGTAGTTTATGCCTGCAATTCCAGCAGAAGATTAAGGCATGAGGACAGCAAATTCTACGTTAGTCTATGCCATTTGTTTTTTTAAAAAGACTATCTCATAGTATTTTTTTTCTTTTTGTTAGTTGCAGGGCTTAAACTCTGGCCTGGGCGCTGTCCCTCAGCTCTTCAGCTCAAAGCAGCACACTACCATTTGAGCTAGTGACACTTCCAGTTTTCTGGTGGTTAACTGGAGAAAAGATCTCACGGACTTTCCTGCTCAGGCTGGCTTTGAACTGTGATCCTCAGATCTCAGCCTCCTGAGTAGCTAGGGTTACAGGCATAAGCCACCAGAGCCTGGCCTAATTTTTTCTTAAATTAGGCTAAAATTCAGTTATCTGAGTACAAAAAGAACAGAGACAAGGCTTATTATTGTAGCACAATAGTTTCAAAAGGCCTTGAAGTAGGAGTTATGATTACTGAAGAAAATGCAATGAATAGGTTTATAATATGTGTATAATATAAAAACAAAGAGCCAGGGCTGATGGTTGACATGTGTAATCAGCTACTCAGGAAGCTGAGGTCTAAGGATCTGCAGTTCGAAGTCAGCCCAGGCAGGAAAAGACCATGAGACTCATCTCCAATGAACTACCAAAAATCTGAAAGTGAAACTGTAGTTCAAATAGTAGAGTACTGGGGAAAAAAGCTCAAAGACAGTACCCAGGACCTGTGTTCAAACCCCAAGACCAGAACAAAAGGAGGCGGACAGAAGGAACAGAATATTAGGTGTAAACTCTGCAGTGTCATATGAAACAAGTTTAGTCCTCAGGAAAGCACTAACATTTACAAAACTCACAAATCTGTATCTGCTTTCTTCTACTGAATTTAATCTAGACATTTCTTGGAATACAAAAACTCCACAAGCATAGTTTTTAACCAAGAATATAACAAATTCTATTTATATTTCCCTATGGAAACTAAGTAGAACTAAAGGCAGCAAACATGCACTGTGCATATTTATATAATTACCACTATAATCTCACCATGATTGCTCCCATTTAGCAGACTGGACCTTAAGAAATGTCTTCTTCAATCATTGTCAATTGACAGGAAACCACAGCTCAGAGCACCTAAATGTCATTGCCAGGATCTTTTTTTTTTTTTTGGTCGGTCATGGGGCTTGAACTCTGGGCCTGGGCACTGTCCCTCAGATCTGCAGCTCAAGGCTAGTACTCTACCACTTGAGCCACAGCACCACTTCTGGTTTTCTGGTGGTTAATTGGAGATAAGAGTCTCATGTACTTTCATTTCCCGGGCTGGCTTTGAACATCGATCCTCATGAGTAGCTCTTGAGCCTCTTGAGTAGCTAGGATTACAGGTATAAGCCACCATTGCCTGGCTTATTGTCAAGATCTTATTCTGACTTTTTTTTGGGGGGGAGAGTCGATCATGAGTCTTGACTTGGGCCCTGTGCACTGTCCCTGAACTCTTTTTGCTCAAGGCTAGTGGTCCACCACTTTGAGCCACAATGCCACTTCCAGTTTTCTGGTGGTTGACTGGAGACATGAGTCTTATGGACTTTCCTTAACTGGGCTGGCTTTGAACCATGATCCTCAGATCTCAGCTTCCTGAATAGCTAGGATTACAGGCGTGAGCCATCTGGACCCGCCCAGCTCTTAATCGAATTTTAAGTCCAATGTCCTTCCTCTATCACTAAACTACCTCCATGGCAGTTGCAAGAAGTTCCCATCCCCAGTACTGCTAGAATCACAGGGATTTGTTCAGTTTCTGTGGTAGGTTCTGAAGAATGTTCTTTTCACATCTATTTCTTATTATCTCCTCTCCTACTTCTGTCCATACCCATTCTGCCCTGGTAGCATTTTCTATTCCTTTCAAGGTTATCATCCCATTACCCTTCTTTCTCTTCCCCCACTTATTTGCTGTCAAATGACTCCTAGGTCTCCTCACCTTCTTTTCTCCCCTTTCCTTCCAGATGACCTCTGCCTCACCTACACCATTAGCCACTCTTACACTCTTCATCTGCTCTTAGTTCAGTAACAGTTGCCTAGCATGAACAAGACGCTGGGTTCAATTTCTAGCATACACACACACAAAAAGGGGAAATCATAGTAATAAAGTGCATGCCACCATCCCTTCACAAAGCCCTATTTATCTTATCATTTATCATACTATATTCTTAATAGTTTTCTCATCTATAAAACTATCAAGCAAGCCTGGCACCGGTGGCTCACGCCTGTAATCCTAGCTACTCAGGAGGCTGAGATCTGAGGACCATAGTTCAACCAGCCCGGGGAACGAAAGTCCATGAAACTCTTAGCTCCAATAAACCACCAGAAAACCAGAAGTGGAACTGTAGCTCAAATGGTAGAGTGCTAGCCTTGAGCTGAAGAGCTGAGGGACAGCGCCTAGGCCCAGAGTTCAAGCCCCATGACAGAAAAAAAAAAAAAAAAAAAGATCCTGGCAACGCCATTTAGATGCTGTCAACCATTCACAAATGATTAATGATTGAGACAAAATGCCTAATACTTAAGCATTTATTCCACATCATCCACCTCCCACAATGTTCTCTATAAAGTATTCAACTATCTCCACAGTCAACCATTCTTTCTTTATACTCAAAAAGGCAATTTTTGGTCAGCCTTTCTATGGAGGGAGACATGATACTCTATTATCCAATTCACTATTTCATTTATAAAATCACTATATTTTAGAACATCAAGATCATTTAAACATCCTAGTTGCTAAAACAAAGCATAACCGATGCCAGTGGCTTGTACCTGGAATTCTAGCTACCAAGGAAGCTGAAATCTAAGGATCACAGTTCAGAGTCAGCCCAAGCAGAAACATCCATGACTCATTTCTCCAATTAACCCCCAAAAAGCCAGAAATGGCATTGTGGCTCTCAGGGTCAGTGACCAGGCCCTGAGTTCAAGCCCTACTGTTAACCTTACGTGCATGCGCACAACACATACATGTGAGTGCACACACTTTAAAATAGTAAGAAATAAGACAGAATCTGGGTGCTGGTGGCCCTCATCTACAATCCTAGCTGCTCAGGAAGCTGAGATCTAAGGACCATGGTTCAAAGCCAGCCCAGACAGGAAAGTCTACATGACTCTTATCTCCAATTAACCACCAGAAAACCAGAAGTGGTGCTGTGGCCCAAGTGGTAGAGAGCCTTGAACAATAGAGCACAGGGACAGCAACCAAGTCCTGAGTGCAAACTCCACAACCAGAAAGAAATTTTTTTTAAAAAATAGTATTTTAGTTCTGTATTTGGCATGCCTGTAATCTCAGCCTCACAGGAAGAATAACTAGGACTAGGAAGGATCCTGGCCAGGGGCCAACCTCTGGCAAAAATGGGACAACCTATCTAAAAAGTAAAAAGCAAGGTAGTCCACCTGTCTAGGAAGCTCCCCAAGTTTAGCTCAAATCTAGTATAAGCAACCATAGGTGATGCACACCTATAATCCTAGCTACTCAAGAGACTGTGATCTAAGAATCATATAGTTCAAGCCTGGCATCGGCAGCTCACACTTGTTATCCTAGCTACTCAGGAGGCTGACATCTGAGGATCTCGGATCAAAGCCAACCCCGGGCAGGAAAGTCCGTGAGACTCTGATCTCCAATAAACCACTAGAAAACCAGAAGTGGCGCTGTGGCTCAAGCAGTAGAGCACTCACCTTGAGCTGAAGAGCACACAGACAACACCCAGGTCCAGAGTTCAAGCCCCAGGACTGACCAAAAAAAAAAAAGAATCACATAGTTCAGAGCCAGCCCAGGCACATATATCCCAGAACTGGAGGTACAGCTCTAGTGGTAGAAGGGCAGTGTGGGCAGTCAGCATAGAAAGAGTAACAGTGGCTCCTATAATCCCAGCTACAGCCTTTTTGCCAGTCTGGGGGCTTGAACTCAGCCTGGGCACTGTCCTGAGCTTCTTTTGTGCTCAAGGATAACACTCTACCAGTTGAGCCACAGAGCCACTTCCAGCTTTTTCTGCTTATGTAGAACTGAGGAATTGAACCCAGGGCTTCATGCATGCTAGGCAAACACATCCCCAGCCCAATCCTAGCTAATTAGGAGGCTGAGATCTGAGGATCACAG